AAGACACGAACCTGACATCAACAGATAAAAATATCGAGGTCTTATTAATAAACCAAACAATTAACAAATACCCAGGCACATCTATACATGTCTTTGATCGTTATTTCCCTACACATTCCTAATCTTGCGTAAATATCTTGCACAACATTTCCACATTTGCATATTTATTCACTTTTTGTTTGTGTTTTTGTTTAGACATAAAGAGATAATCTGTCAATTCACGTAAATTGATATGTACATGTATAAGAAACCACTATCAATATTAATTAAAATACATTGTTAGATTGTAGAATGATGACTTAAATATTAAACCTTTACCGAAAACTTATATACTTGAGAATGATTACGCTAGCTGTCGAAACGTCGTACATGTTTTAAAAATATTCTTCCTTATTGTAAAAGCTGCAACTCATAATAAAATAAGGTTACATCAGCTCCATCAACAAACGCTGCTGATACGAGTGAAAGAACGAGTAAATTTATAACGCCTATTAAACAAAGGGTATTGGAACACGCCGTAGGTGAGTGTGACGTAGTCGTCTGTTCAATATAGTTTCTTATTTTAATTATGACTACGAAGCTTTTGATTAAAAGCGTGCTTGTTCTTTCACACGCATAGAACCTAAAGTAGCCAATCAGCTCAGCACATGATTTTCCCTTTAATTGCATGACTGCATAAATAAGCCAATGAATGCTACCCATAATAGTTCAAGATATCTTTAGATACTCTTTCAGGATTCTTGCAGTACATTCCAAAGCTTTCAAAGTGGTTTCTGTCTCTTTTTGTTGAGTTTCAGACCCTAAGGAGATCAATCTATAGCTGACAAAATGTTGGCTGTTTTTATCTCCTTAGAAATTGTTTTAAAAATTTTTGTAGTGAGCTTTTGAATTATTTTAACGTTTAAAATTATAACTCAGAGTAAGCAACGTTTTTACTTACGATACACAATTATGGAGGATTAAACGTATTTACTGGGAGTACCGTTTCTAAGATCTCTCATTCCAGAAATTGAAATGCAACCTTCTCCGGTTTTATAGGGCCGGATTCCTTACAGTAGGTTTCTGTGGTTTGTTGGCGATAAATTTCAACAATAAACGGACAGCACACAATCAACTTGGTTTAAAACAACATATTCAAAACAAGTCAAATGTATGTACAATAATTCGTTACACTATTGTTTATCGCAGTTGTATCCAGATCTTTAAATAATTGTCTCTTTTTTTCGTCGAAGTCCACATAGGCAGGTTCAATTACTTTAGAACACCTTTTGATAAGACAAATTATTTCTTCTCTCCTCTGTTATCACAATACACTCAGTGATAAACTCACTTTATAAATTGCTCTTACAACTAAACTGACAATCAGGTAGTCTAACTTCAATTTTACTTTCACCAACTTACTTATTTACTTTCAGTATATGCGTGTTTTTATCTCACGCGAAGAAAAATGTAGATATATCCTAGCCCTCTAGTAACAATAATATTACACATAACGAGAAATACTTAGAAGCTTCGAGAAAGATGACGTCAACAATATTTAAAAAGCCTAGTACAACAACTAAACTGCATACACAACGAACGACTCGTACAGAGTTACGTAACGAAACTTGTCACAACTATCGCTTTTAAAATAATTAACTTTATCATTCTAGTTTTGAAAACTAAATAATCATTCAATATTTAATCACTAAATAAACTAAATAATAACCGTTAAACTGAACAGTCTTGTATATCCAACAAACATTTTACATACACATATTATACCATTTCTTTGTTCAATGTACACATTGTTCCTTGCATGTCCTTCCACTTCTAACCCACAACTTTCTCTAAGATAAGAAAGAAAATTCGTCCACCAGTGGCACAACAGTATGTCTGCGGACTTAGAACGCTAGCAACCGGGTTTCGATACCCGTGGTGAGCAGAGCATAGATAGCCCATTGTGTAGCTTTGTGCATAACTACAAACAAACAAACAGAAAAGAAATTCATAGGTCAAATAACGCTCTTTGAACTTTTACGCTTCTTGGGCAGTTTTTCTTAATGTTTGCTTGAAAATTCCTTATTAGTATGCCACGTTATCTTAATCATGCTTATAAAAATGATATTGATGGTAAACAGATGAGCCAATGTTTTTCTTAACAGCCTCTTGAAGCTGTTTGGAAGAGATATTACTGAATATTTTATCTCTCCCATAATGATTTATTGTCTTAACCTTAAAGTTGGTTTGTTTATTTGGTTTGAATTTC